ACGACGCGTTTAACTCGACTCGAGTTGGGCACAACTAATCCGAGACAGGAAATAGATAGGCGGCGCGTACGCGATTACTGCTCTAAGCAACGGATGTATGTGTCGCCACGTAGGAAATAATTAGAAATCGGCCCGACAAGGTCGAGTCATTCCTGAGGAATGATTCCGGTACTCTACGAGAGGTGAGAAAGATATACAAGGTGAGGTGATTCAGACCCCGCGTTGCGACACTTTTCGGTCATCCGCATCGATAACGCATCGACAGTCACCCGATAATGATCGATATTCTTTTTTTCATATAGAACTACACGCCTTCCCGATTTAAAAGTCGACTGCAATCCGAGGAATTGTATGACACGAAGGAATGCAAATTTAAAAATCGAAAAACAGGCACAGAGTAATTCAGGTTCCCATGTTGCGACACTTTTCGGTCATCCGCATTGATAACGCGTCGACAGTCACCCGATAATGATCGATATTTTTTTTTTCATATAGAGCTACACGCCTTCCCGATTTAAAAGTCGGCTGCAATTCGAGGGATCGTATGACACGAAGAAATGCAAATTTAAAAATCGAAAAACAGGCACAGAGTAATTCAGGTTCCCATGTTGCGACACTTTTCGGTCATCCGCATTTATAACGCGTAGACAGTCACCCGATAATGATCGATACTAATTTTTTTTCACGTAAAGCTCCGCATCATTCTGCAATTTAAAGATCGGCTGCAATTTGAGGAATCGCATGGCATGGGAAAGGGTAAATTTAAAAATCGAAAAACAGGTAAAGGGTGATTCAAGTCCCATTTAGCAACACTTTTCGGTCATCGGCATTGATAGCGCGTCGACAGTCACCCGATAATAATCGATACTTTTTTTATTTATTCTCATAGAGCTACACGCCTTCTCGATTTAAAGGTCCGCTGCAATCCGAGGAATCGTATTGCTCGAAGGAATGCAAATTTAAAAATTGAAAAACAGGCACCGAGTAATTCAGATTCCCATGTTGTGACATTTTCCGGCATCCGCATTGATAACGCGTAGACAGTCACCCGATAATGATCGATATTTTTTTTTTTTTAATATAGAGCTACACGCCTTCTCGATTTAAAGGGCGGCTGCAATCTGAAGAATCGTATTGCACAAAGAAATGCAAATTTAAAAATCGAAAAACAGGCACCAAGTAATTCAGGTCCCGTGTTGCGACACTTGTCGGTCATCCGCATTGATAACGCGTAGACAGTCACCCGATAATGAACGACACTAATTTTTTTTTTTCACGTAAACCTCCGCGTCATTCTGCGATTTAAAGATCGGCTGCAATTTGAGGAATCGCATGGCATGGGAAGGGGTAAATTTAAAAATCGAAAAACAGGTACAGGGTGATTCAGGTCCCACATAGGAACACTTTTCCGTCATCCGCATTGATAACGCATCGACGGTCCCTCGATAATAATCGGTACTATTTCTTTTCACATGGAGTTTACGCATCATTCTGTGATTTAAAGATCGGCTGCAATTTCAGGAATCATATGGCATGGAAAAGTGTAAATTTACAAGTCGCAGGAAAAATCGACGGTATTGTGGCTTCCCTGCCATCTGTGTAATAAACAAATATCCGTTAGAGACGCAATATCCGTGTAATCGAAATTTCGATACACAATATTTTGAAATTCTGTCCACGATATGAAAGTGCTCGAAACATTTTTAATAGGGTAGAGCGATAGAACGAGTTCTGTCTGCAAGTTCACGGGCCTCCACCGAGTGCGGCGTCTCTTTACTGTAAACATGGCGCCATCTTTTCATCCACCCACGCTTTCCCCTAGATCCGCGAAAATGGAGGAGAGGTTAGGTTTACGCGGAGACGGGATATTAGGGGCACCGATCGCCGACGGATTCGGGGGTCCTCGGGGGATGCGTTATAATTAGAATTGCCGAGTGCCCTCCTGGGCGATAGCAATATCTTTGTAGGGGATCCTGGACCGACGGTCGCACCCGAAATGACTCGACTCGGAGATGCGTTCCCATATCGCCCCTCCGACCCTCTTGTTCCCATCTGTTTATAGCTCGTGCATCCATGGATCAAGAGGGTTATAGTGCCGGAGTTAAGAAAGAAGAAGCCCCAGCCTCGGTCGACCCGATGATATTTTTCTCCCCGAAAAAGGTCCCCGAGAAATAGCGCCTCCGATAACCGTACAGGTCCATTAGTTCCTCCCATCGAAACCGTGTTGATCGAAACTTGCAAGTGTTCACGCTGCACCTGATCTCAAATGGCAATAAATTTTCTCGTCGTCGCCAGTTTCGAAAAATGCCACCGTGTTGCATTTCCCAACGCGACCGATAATTTTCATCCGTTTCCCCCGCGATCCGGAATTAGAACGCGCGATCTCGCGATCGGGTCATGTTGTCGCGTATAAGCGAGAAACTATTCACTTGGAAATCAATAAAAACGATTTCCTTCTTCGAGAGCCAATCGCCTCTGACTTCATATGATAAATAACATTGCTATTCGGTAACAAGGGACGTTGGGCCTCAAAAACTGATGACAGTGTTCGGTTATTTCCAACTATTTAGGGTGATCGCTGCTTCGGATTTCCAGCTGTTTTTCCGCATGATTTCAAGCGTTAAAATCCATGATTTCCTGAGTGAATACCCCCTCGGCACAAAGCGTTATTTCCAAAAGTGTCCCGCGTCGCGGAAAAGCGGAAAAGCGGGCACATATACTCGAGATGAATCCGGCAGCGATTGTTTCCTTCAAACAATGGAGCGCCGCCGCTTTCCTAAGGTCTGCGCAGTCCAGCGGATAGTTGCTCGCCAATGCGGCCTTTTTGCGGAAACCTCGCGAAAATACGTCGAGGATCGGCCCGGCTGTCTCAAAATCTCGACAGTCCTCGACTCGCGGAAACCCTCTTCCCTCTTTTCGATATTTCTGACTCGACCCCTCTCGGGGGGTCGCGCGCGCAGAATCAACGAAAATAACGCGGATGCTACTCACCGACCACGTGCGACCCCGAAGGGGTTAATCGCCCGATGAAAAAGGATATAACGAGATAAGATTATTGCAAAAAAATGCGACCGACTCCACGGTGAAAAATGTCCGGAGAATCTCGAATGAAGATGGCTGTACCCCGAATGACGAATCGTTGCGACCAATCAAGTCGATCTTTACGGATTCACCTAACTCGTGATAACTAGATGCTATAAAACTCCATTTATTTGCACAGATAACAAGTCGCTACGATTCATCACCATACGTGTTGCCACCTTAAGTACGGCTTTGGATTTACGAATATAATGAATATAGCGTTAAATATCAATTTCTTTAATATCGCCGAGCTGTGTGCTTATATTAATCGCACATACTAAGGAAAAGAAATGTCATTGAACCATGGAAATATTTCTTTAAACACTAACAAAGAATGTATATTGTTAACCTCAAGAATAATTATGACTCAAGGAAATTGTCATAATTCCAAATAAATGATAAATCCAATTTACTCGAGTTTTCTCGAGTCAAATAATTATTCTTTGAATTAATAAAATATATTTCATTGGCAACTATTCGAAGAAACATTTCTTTGATTCAGGGAAATTTTTTTTTCTCAGTGAAGGTAAAATAAGTACGATCGTTTTCCGAGCATCCACCTTAAGAACGCCTCTCGATTTAGAGATACGGTTTTAAATTTGAGCTTCCTAAACGTCGGTCAAGCTCATTTTTATACATATTCGCAACATTTCCTCGCGATTGGCGACGACGAAGTAGTCCAGCCAACTCGCAGCGAGACTTCAAGGATACCAATTCGAGGTACTTTTAAAAAAGGACATACACGATCGCCGACCCTCGCCGATTTAAGACCGCACCTCGAAGAAGCCGACAGGACCATCGTCCTTGGGAAAAAGTGCCGAGGAAACTGCTCCTCGGTGCACGTGAAATGAGCGGGCTTAAAAGGACTCAAGCGCAAAAAGAAATGCACACAACACAAAGGACGCCCATAAAGAAGGGATTATCATCCAGGGATCCTTGGGAGTCCGAGAACGTCACTCGGGACGCCACGACGGAAAGGACGGCCCTTCGACGCGAAGGATGGCCTGGGACATTCGCAAAACCGATTTTTCACTTCGCAATTACGGAATACCTGCAGGTGAGCTCGCTCACTCCCTCGCGCGAGTACTCTCACGTGCGGTCCGGACGCAACGATAACGGCCCTTTAAAGCGGTCCGGCGTGTACGCTTTGTTTACAATCGTGAACTAACGTCCAATCCCGGTTGAACGATCGATCGAACCCTGCAAAGCGTTAATCAAGCTCTGGAACAAATATAAACGTGCGTGGAACCGGAGAATCTCGCGAGGGAATTCAAAGGACCCGGCACTTGACCGACATTTCGCCGACTTTTGGAAATCGGCGAGCGTGAGACGTAACGAAGGGCGAAGGGGTGCCCTTTTACCGGAAACCGGGACAAGACGTCGCCCGGTATATTCGAGGATAAAAAGGGAATTTCGAGGATCGAGACAGAGCCGCCAGCCAGTAAGGAGCACCTTGTGCAGCTGACGGCTGCAGTAGCTCGCAGCGGCTTGTAGCGGCTCGCAGCAGAGGCAGCGCGAAGGGCAGCTGTCGGCGTCCTCGGCGCTCAGGATGCACCCTCGACGTATCGGCTCGAAAATCGTTAGCAGCCCTGCCCCTAGGGTCCGCTCGACCACGCGGGTGACGCCTCGGGAGAGCTTGGGGAGACAGGAGCGTGAGGAGTCACGGGCGACTCGCAGGAGCGAGCACGCGACCGCGGCCGTGGCCGGGCTCTGGTCGAGTGAATCACTCGCGAATGCTTCCCCGCGACGTCGCCGAATTTTCGAGTCCGATCTACCCCGAGGGTGAACTTCTGCGGGGTTGCCGCACGCGGGAGGGCTCAGGGCTTGGAAAAAGGACCGCGCGGGTGGTGGTCGCGCGTGTCTCGGCCCTGGCGCGATATGGAGAGAAAGAGGGAGCTAGGCTAGTTTCGCGGACTCACCTCATGTTTGCTGGCTGTGGGGCCGAGTGCTATGCACTCAGGCGACTCGCGTTCCTGCTGAGGCACAGAATCTCCCCGATCCCATGAAAACACGCGAGATTAGGACAGGACTTGCGATAATTCGACATAAATAACGCGGCACTAACACCACCGTGACACCCTGCCGCTGCACGTCTGACCGGCCATATTGCCGACTCGAGACTCCCTGCTTCCCTACTACCGTGCGCCTTGCATGCGCCTTGCGTGCGCCCCGCTTCGACCCGGGAGTACGCGGACTGTCTAGAGGGGGCGTCGAGCGTCCTTCCGCGGCTACGCGAGAGATGGCGCTGCTGGTGGGCGGCGCGATTTTCAAATACTCACCGTAATCACGGGATGTTAATCGAAACTGCGATTAGTTATATATGAATCTGTTGGCACCATTTATAAATAATTGTCTGATTGACGTTAGGTGCGGATGACTCCGCTCATTTCGTTCTGTAATGTTTCTAGGTTATGTAATGGTATTCGGCACTGACGATGGTAACGCATTCGGATAAAGACCGCGAGATTTTTTGCTTCACCGTAATGATAAGATTTTGGACCATATATCTACGTAGATAGTCAAAGAAGAAAATTCGGTCTCTGGCAAGTGCTGGCAACCCTGCAATGTAGGTATGTAAGTACAAGAGTGGCTAAAAGAAATAAATTAGAACAAACAGGAAATATGAAGCAGGTGACCTACCAATCAGGTTGAAAAATTTGTCAATGATATAGAAAAAACACCCTCCTTTTCCGACGCGCAGGTTTCCCCCCTGATCTAAGAAGGGACTTTAGGCTCCGTCCATGTATTCTTACGTTCATGGGACCACTACTTGAATAAAGCGCTGGCATGGATTTAAATACATACAATTGCAATACATTCATATTATCCAAATAAAGTAAAATAAAATATTCAGTGTATATTTTATCTATAAAATATTTTTATGAGAATTTATTTGTGAAATATGTAAGTACTGTAATTAAAAATGTTTTGGCTCAGATAGTAGAACGACAAGTGTTCTGAGTTTTCAATTTGACTGGTCTCCCGCGTTGTCTGAGATTTACAAGATTGCGTACTCCATGTTAGTGCTTTAGCGATAGCGCTGCCACCTACAGAGATACAGAACATTGTTTTAAATTGTCTCTACAAGTGGCAGCGTTTTCGCTAAAGCACCAACATGGAGTACGCAATTTTGTAAATCTCAGACAACGCAGGAGACCAGTCAAATTGAAAACTCAGAAAACTAGACGTTCTGCTACCTGAGCCAAAACTTTTTTAATTACGATATTTACATGTGTCACAAATAAATGCTTATAAACATAGTTTATAGATAAAATATACACTGAATATTTTATTTTATTTTATTTGGATAATATGAATGTATTGCAATTGTATGCCTTTAAATCCATGCCAGCGCTTTATTCAAGTAGTGGTCCTTAACAAGTTGGTCGCCCATATTTCGGCTACCATTTACGTTTACACACAGCGTCACCCATATCTGGGTGACCAACGTGTTAAGCGAATGCAGCGCCGCCTAACAAAGAAAGATCTGTATCCGATTTTGAGAAAATTTGTATACATTAGGTTTGTTCGCGTTGTCTGCACTTTCTACATTCGAGGGTAATGAATGTATTACCCTTTTCTTGAAAGATGCAGAAGTATAGATGCACTTTCGTTGGCGTCAAGAACGCCAGAAAGATAAAGAAAGTACAAGATGGCCGTTTTAACGGGACAGTATGCGATTTTGGAGTTATTGCAACCGGATGATGATGAAAATGAAGATGTAACGCTTCCTCCATTACATCTGCTAGCAAATGATGATGATAGTGATAATATATGATGCAGTAATACATAATAATTGTAAATAAATAAATTACAAATCAATACATGATTTGTAATTAATAGTGATTGTACAATTTTTTAAAGAATACGTTCAAAATTAAAACACCAAGTCGTTCTATACACGAAGAAAATGTATTAATCATTATTTCTATTTATATTACGTTGGATCTTGGGAAAAACTTTGTATTTTTTATCTTTTCAATTTTGAAATTTGCCACCGAATTCGCGATCTACACTTTAGGTTTGTTCGTTTTGCGAGTGCATCTACACCGAGTATACACTTTCTCTACACTTTCTTTCGATCCCGAGCGAGTGCAAGAAGTGTATCCGGCGAATTTGGCGGCAAATTTCAAAATTGAAAAGACCAACAAACAGAAAAATACAAAATTTATGCTAACGTCTCAACGTAATAAAAACAGAAGTAATTATTAATCCATCTTCTTCAAGTATAGAACGATTTAGCATTTTAGTTTTGTTCATAATGTTTGAAACAATTTACAATAATTATGTATTACTACGAAACCGCGGTTGGAATGAACTAAACTATAATTTTTCACTGTTGTAGTTAAATTGTTTTTCATTTTACTGCAATAATATTCTGACCCTTATTGATACTCAATACCTGAAATTCGTGAAAGGAATTTTCATCTTCTACAATTACAAGGTAATGGAACGAATTGTAGCATTTGAAGAAAACGAAGACGGCTCAAGAAGGAAAGCTGGAAGAAGTATTACATTTTCGTATTCATCGTCCGATACGGATAATCTCAAAATTGCGTACCTCTCTACTAAATCAGTCATCTTGGACTTTCGTGAGGTTTCTGGCGTTCGGGACATCGATGAAAGTGTATCTGCCCTTCTGCACTTTTCAAGAAAAGTGTAGTACACTCGTTACATTCGAGTGTAGAAAGTGCAGTCAACACGAACAAACCTTTTTGTAACATCTTACACTCGCTCAGGATGAAGGGCGTTTATTACGTATTTTTTGACGAGCGCGCTCACTTCTCGCACTTTCATCTCACGTGAGTTTATTCGCGAATTACGTATTGGCTATATGAAAGAACGAGATCACTAGCACTTCCGGTCAAGTAATATTGCAAATAAAGGTATATATAGAGTTCGAAAATTCTCGGTAACATTAAATTGGAGAAGGTAACTGTGAAACATACCGTAAGTTACCGGGAACATTGAGAATTTAAGAGAACGTTAATTTTGTTATTTATACTTTAGGTTTCTTCGTTTAAATAACTTTTTTTTTCAATCAACTTCAAAGTTCAAGCTAAAAAGTAATAATTACTATTAGAAAATTTTGATTCTAGGGTCGTATTTACCTTCAGCTAAAAATATTCACGTATGTACAACTTCACGGAAAATTCCATGCGATTTGTTTCAAACGAACTGGTATTTCATTCTGCGACGAAGCGAATGGGAGGTTTTTATTGGCTACGGAGAACGTACAACGGAAATTCCCCTCTACGATGTTTCTCTATAGCTAATCGAAACCTCTCGTACGCTCTGTTGAACAATTTAAATTCTCATAATTTCTCGATAAAAAAGGCTTTGGAGAAGTTACCGATAAGTTACCGGGAATTTCTCTTCGTTTCTGACGTAACTTACTGGATTTAGAACTCTAGGTATATACCTTGTAAATCGAACATTGTGAGAAGTGTGGGTTATAGACAGGAAAGGCGGGAAGATGGAAAGCCGTTAAAAGTAAAGAAGAGGACTCGAGTCTATTCATATTTTTTAAATATGTATTGCATTCATATTTACATGTACTATAATTAGAAGTTCAACAATATAATTTTCTTCCCATGTCATGTAAGCATGAATAATTTAACAGTTTTCAATGTTTAATAATGTAGTATAACCTCGCAATAACAAAAACTAACCTGTACATACTAGTAAATTCTCTTTTTTCTCATGAAAATGGGTCTGACGCATAACGTAATTCCTTTCTTTTTCTAATAAGGTTATTATTTCCAGAGATGACTCATCTCTGTTATTACATCCCCGAATACGATTGTTGCCAAAAATCAAAACACGTAGGTTTTCCATTTTGAATTTTAGTGCCACAATCCATGGAAGATGGCGTTCACGGCGCTTATTTTTCTATATTTTCTTATACGCTTCGCTATTTCGCTTAAAAATTTGTGTCGAGCCAGTTCACATGAATGGTCTCGCATTTTCAGCACAAAAAACGTTCCGTAATACCGTCAGCTACTCATTTTTCACATTTTCGTTAAATTTGCTTTACGTAATAGAACCCAAGGGTAGAAAGTGTAGAGAAAGTGTACACTCGATATAGATGCCCTCACGAAACGAACAGAGACGTATGCGTCACTTCCGTCAAAACGAACTCCAAAGTGTACACTTTTTGTAAAAGCGTAGAAAGTGTAGGCAGAATGAACAAACCTAGTGTAGAAAGTGCAGGCAAATCGAACAAACCTAATGATTGTCACATAATTTTGCTATAATTTTTTTGTTCTACTGTATGTATATATGCCTATATTGAAAACAATTGCGTGTAAAGTTGAACGCCCAAGTTGAACAAATAGGGTTAAATTGCACAAATTTACATTTTTAATTACGACGATCCATTATAAACATGGATATCATAATAAAGTTAAATGATCAAACAGTAGGAAGAGATAAAATGATAAGGTTAGTCAACAATTAACGATATCTCAAAAGTCAAATTTAATTACTTTTTTAAAACTCGGATCCAAACAATATTTGAATATCTGTCATAGATGTTTTGATAAATTATTTAACTATTACATACTTTATTGTTCTCTTCTCCCTATGCTTAATTTATTGTGTTGCATTTAAAGAAACCACAACATGTGGTACCAAGTTATTATTTTATTAATATTTCAGATTACTACAGTATGGCGTTAGAGCATGTTGGTATTATGCTCAGAGTAGAGAAAGTACATGTCATTCCATTGATATCCTTAAAAGTCTGGAATACACATTCAGTTCCTTTCGTAAATGTACTGAATCGTTCCATGAAAGTATAATATGGATTGCTTTTCATGAATAACACTCGTCAAAGAAAAAAGTATTATTTGCATATGAAACAATTTTAATAGATTTCATTATTTACAGTGTTACGTCTTGGAAGATTTCTCGATGCTCTATATTCGGCTATAAATCTTATGAAATATCCAGATCTATATGTAAGAGTTACTTCAACGTTATCAAAAATTGCCAATGCTTTATTTCTCTTAGCCGATCATATTATCTGGGTAGGTCGAGCAGGGATTGTTCGAGTAAACATGGATAAGTGGAATTCTATTGCAAATAAGTATTGGCTCATGTCACTTTTATTCAACCTTACAAGGGACGTATATGAAATAACTAATATTTTAAATGTAAAGAATTTTGCAGCTTGCTCAAAGATGACTTGTTATAGGTACACATATCAAGAATATTATCAAACAATTGCTTGGTGGAGGGATCACAAAGATATTATATTAGATACGATAAAGAATGGCTGTGACGTGTGTATCCCTCTAACTGCTTTAGGTTATACACGTATAAGTCCTGGTATGGTGGGAATACTTGGTTTGATTTCATCGCTTGTAGGTCTTTACACAATTGTGCACCCACTCGCTAAACTGACTCCTTAAAAATAATTCAGTTTACTTGAAATTTTAAAACCAAATAATAAATGTTATTTTAGTAAAGGGGTGCAAAGGAATATCTTGCCTAAGATATACATATGCTACATGATTAAAAAATGAAAAAAAAAGTTCATTTGAAATTTTATAACCAATTAAGAAATGTTATTTTAGTAAAAGGGTACAAAGGAATATCTTATCTAAGATGTTATACATATTCTGAGTGATTAAAAATCGAATAACCTCCTAAAAAATATTTTAATAAAATATTCAGAAAATTGTGAGTATATCTCGTGTTTCTTTGAAAGCATTAATCAACAACATATTTGTGTTTAAATAAAGTTTTGTTTTTGCAAATTATTTTGGGACAAATATTTAATACAAATGAATTTTATTCATTTCTGCAGGGTCCGTGCATATTGTTTTTGCAAATTATTTTGGGACAAATATTTAATACAAATGAATTTTATTCATTTCTGCAGGGTCCGTGCATATGAATTTATACAATACAATTTGTCAGAAATGTTAAAAATCATTATTTTATATTTTATCTTGATTCTGCATTTAAATATTTTTTTTGTACTGAGTAATAAACCAAAAACAATTTCATACTATCTAAATAACTCAATGTAATAGTCTTATAATGAATTTAAATAATAGAAAACTATAGATAACTATACTACGCAGTTGTAAATGTATGATAACATTTAGAATGGATGGTATTATTTTGTAATTATGTGCTGATAAATAAACATGATATTCTTATAAATAATAATCGTTATTACATAGTTAGAAGAAAAATTTACTCCATTTTACATACGAAATAATTTAGTTAAGTGAGATTCCTAATCCCATGGATTTGTAATTCCAGATTTAAATAAAAATAATGTAACAATGTTTCATTTTTATTTTTAGTGGTTAAATGAGTTCTTTTATGATGACTAAATAAATAAGATTAACTGTGGTATACCATACAAAGTTGATCTGAACAGGTCATATCCATTACGTCAATTTATGGTACAACTTATATAATTATGAAGAATATGCCATGTTAAATTAATTATACTGAATCTTATACTAAACAGAATTTCTAAACATTATGCACTTCTCATTTACTATTTGATATACAAAATTATTTACATTAAATTAGCACTAAAATACATGAGTATTGAAATATAATTGACACGTGAGCCGTGAAACTGTACTTTAGACGATAGATGAAATAGACTTTCATTAAGTTCCATGCCGTAACTATTTTTACTCGTTTTAAACTTGTATAATTTGATTTGAAATGAAGTCTTGATCTCTATTCCACAATGTTTCACAGATCCAGTTTAACTGGTGCGAACAATCAAATATTTCAGGTCTTGTTAATGTCTTATTTGTATCAATTCTAATTACTTTCAATTTCCATTTCTGTTCAAACTCTTTCACTTGAGCATCTGTCACTTCTAAAGTTGACCAAGGCCTGTATCTATAAAACAGGATAAAATACAAATATCTTAACAAACATATATGTGTAGAAAGTTGACATATAATGGATAAAAATTGAAATGTTTAATTAATAATAAGCTCTTATTATAAATCACTTGAAAGAATAAGTAAAATATTTACTTTGTTCCAATAACTATGTTTGCTGGTTTATCTTTAACAGTTGTCATCGAATTAATAAGATAAGGCACATCGTTAAAACTTGACAAGTCGTCAAATGAAAATACAATGCAGACGGCATCAACTTTATCTTTACAAACCTGAAATAATGTACAGATATTTCAGAGCCATGACAATCAAGATGATTAAATTCAGAAACATTATATTTATATAATCTACACTTACAGGTAAAATATGATTGTATTTTTTAATGCTATTCTCAGAAGTGTCCCAGAAATGCAGTTTAAACAAGATTATTTTATCTCTGATCTTTATTGGCCAAAATATAGTCGTCTTTTTAATTCCATTAGTTTCAACATATTTAGTAGATCCAATATTACCAGACAGTCTTGAAACTACTGAAGTTTTTCCAACTCCACCTTTACCGATCATAAATATTTTATACGTCACTTCATCGATCACGGATGGAAGAGGTGGCCTCTCCAATACACCTAAAGTATTTAAATACGATTTAAAGATCATTTGTAAGCAACATATAAATTTGAGTATATTACCATAAAATTTCCTTTTATTGATCCCCCGGACATAAAAATGATGAAGTATTGATTCCCCATCAGCAGAATTTAACCAGTTTAAGTTGACAGCATTACTCATGACTGTTTACATAAATACTTCTCTGGGACCATCAAATGTCATTAAATTTACAGTTATTTAACTTGAAGCACTAGCGGATACGTCATAACAAGAGGATTATAAGAAACGTTCTTGAAAGTCTTAGAAGTTCATAATTTAAATATTCACGAATAGTCAAGGAATGTAGATGTGGCTAGAAATTAATTCTTTAACGATAAGATGACTACTTTTATTACAGTTTCAACCCCATTATAGGGTGACGCCACATGTCTAGTATTTTCAAATTCTCGAGAATTTCTGTTCGAGTATTATAACGGAAAATATTACGGTAATTTAAAAATCCCTAGGGAATTTAAGAACACTGTGAATGTATATTTAAATTAACTTTTTCAATATAATATATTACTTTTTATAGAATTAGTAATATTTTTAACAACTGTAATGAACCTGTTCCTTAAAATTAAATACCATTTAAAAGGATGCTGAAGTCGATTGGTATCAGGGGCTCTATTACGTAAAGCAAATTGAGCGAAAATGTGAAAAATGAGTAGCTGACGGTATTACGGAACGTTTTTGGTGCTCAAAATGCGAGACCATTCATGTGAACTGGCTCGACACAAATTTTTAAGCGAAATAGTGAAGCGTATAAGCTCATCTCTGCGTATAAGAAAATATAGAAAAATAAGCGCGGTGAACGCCATCTTCCATGGATTGTAGCACTAAAATTCAAAATGGAAACCTCCTAGGTGTTTTGATTTTTGGCAACAATCGTATTCGGGGATGTAATAATAACCTTATTAGAAAAAGAAAGGAATTACGTGATGCCTCAGACCCATTTTCGTGAGAAGGAAGAGAATTTACTAGTATGTACAGGTTAGTTTTTGTTATTGTGAGGTTATATTACATTATTAAACATTGAAAACTGTTAAATAATTCATGCTTACATGACATGGGAAGAAAATTATATTGTTGAACCTCTAATTATAGTACATGTAAATATGAATGTAATACATATTTAAAAAATATGAATAGATTCGAGTCCTCTTCTTTACCTTTAACACTATTTCTACCACGATTTTGTGTATACCTACTTTGACCAAAAGGTTTCGACCAAAAGGTTTTGATGAGCTGGAGGAAAATGATACCGCTAAATAAATTTAACAATTATTATACGAAAACTCAAAACATTAATTGAGAAAAAATGATTAAACTTTGAAAATAATTTCAAGTTAAAATTTTAAAAGGTGTCTTTTGACACCTTTGGTAGAAATAGTGTTAACGGCTTTCCATCATCCCATCTTTCCTGCCTATAACTCGTACCTCAACAATGTTCAATTTACAAGGTATATACCTTTATTTGCAATATGACTAGACCGGAAGCGCTAGTGATCTCGTTCTTTTATGTAGCGAATACATAATTCGGCGAATAAACCCACGTGAGATGGAAGTGCGAGAAGTGAGCGCACTCGTCAAAAATACGTAATAAACGCCCAGAGATGGATTGGGAGATTGCTCACGGGCGGGGTCGTGAGGAATTTGAAATGCCCAAGGGGCAGACTGGATTTCCTAAAGGTGTAGAACGTAAATATATAAGAGACATGAAATCATGATTCCGCTTCTATGTCTGAAAGTGGATGCATTGCAAATTTTCCTATGGCATTTCACTGTATAAATATTAATAAACTATTTTTCTTTTTAAGCTAAGATAATATTCTAACTTCATTTCAGTGGATGGAAAAATTGAATCGCAAAGAAACTTGTTAACATTTAATAAAACATGTTTTAATATATTCTTTACGAAATTCTGTGAATAATCATTTAAGAAAAACTACGTTAAGTGGGTCAGGGACACTTCACAATAATATATAAATAATTATCATTAATTGTTTTTGTTTATAAACATTTTTTTTTCTTTAGGAAATCCATTCTAACCCTTGGACGATATAAATTCTGCGCTGCTCCCGCCGCTAGTACGCTGCGCGGCCGGAGAGGGCAGTGTGGACAGGAGGAAACCATCGACGGAGTCCAGTGTATGTACAAGGTTAAGCGCAGTTCTGATTGGCTTTCCATTTTCAAAGTGTTGATACCTCGCAGCTGTGCGACACCCATGTTCAACGAGAACGAAGCCTAAAACTCGGTTCCACGCTTGAGTTAATTGGAGTTAAACTTGTTTACAGCGGGTTTAAACCGCATCTAAATCAGATAAACTTCAGTTATCTGGAGTTGTAGAATTGGACATAATTCCTTACATGTCATGTATAAGGTGCCACAAGTTCGGTCTTCTTACGACAGTTTCGAATTGTTTACGTGTCACATTTTCAATGCAATGTGCCAATTGTCTAAAATACTGTGAAATTGAGTTAAAGTATGGGGAGTATTGTACATAAACTAAGTGTGAAGGAGCCGAATATTTTCTAGGTTATACGTACTGTTTACATTTTATTCATATTACTTTATTGAAGTAATATGTTGCGAAGAAGAAATGTAAACTTAAAAACAGTTAAGAAGCTTGATGCTTTTCCTAAAGTTCCTGAAACATGCGTCGAACAATCCGCTGTTGGAGGAACATGTAGGTTTACTTTTTTAATAAATTTTATGTGTGAAAAATGGTATATCGGCAAACATAATTGGCAAAACATGACATATATTACAGAACGAGTGTCATATTCATCAGTTTACTAAGATTGTTGATAAAAATTTTATTGTACTGTTACGTCAAAATTGTAACAAATTATTGATCCGCAGTCAGATCAGCTTACCTGCTGCGTGGATCAACAACCTCCTTTTTGGCCACGAATTTAATCATAGAGCCAGGGACTGGGGTGCACAGAGGGTCAGGGGTGGAAATAATCAAGGCTAGGGGTTCAGCAATAACAATTTTATTAATAGGCAATGGTTTAAATTTATTCTACAAATACAACTAAATATTTGCTGAATTGTATGGGGTCGATTTCGATAAACTCAATCAAGACAATGCGTGAACATGGAAATCGCAAGAACAAATACACAATAAAAATTCAAATGCCAGAATTCAAAATCGTAGACCTACCTTAATAAAATCGAAGACTGGCATCCTCCATGTCTCATTACAGGGGTGCAATAATAAAGTTCAGACCACAATTTAGAACCAGGATTCAAGAATAAGTTTAGCAATAAAACGATATCAACTCGAGAATAAATTTTAAAAGTACAATTTCATTCCAAATTCCAAGAGTAAAATATAAAGATATATTCTATATCAAATTTCAAGATTAATATTTAAGAATAAAATTTTAAATTTTAATATACAAAAATAAGACTCAGGGACTGAATTTAAAGACGCAAAAGTTAAGAACAAGGTTTAATATTGAATTTCAAGAGTAAAGGTCGCGAATTAATTCTTAATATCAAATGTCAAAGTAAAATCGAGAATAAATATCGAATTTCAAAGTAAAAGACGGGAATAAATATCAAATTTCAAAGGTAAAGGGCGAGAATAAATATCAAATTTCAAAGGGTACGACTTCGATGCAAAACAATTATCGGCAAATAGGAATGGAATTTAGAAAAATTCTTCCGGAATCCAGGTCCAAATAGAAGGATTAAACGATCGGGGAGTAGATGATTGAAACAAATTGTAATAAGACATTTCAAGTAACAATTTCGGGATTACTTATAATTAACATAGGCACACTTACAATAATGACATTCAATACACAGCTAATACGGGCAGGTCAATACCAAATACATGCTTAATAACCAATTACATTCCGCTATCAAAATTTTATATTAATTCTTAGAGACACAATACAATATTACAAATGAAGGATTTCGCGAGACTCGATTAATCCGGACAAAACAATTTAACAACGTGAAATCCGTAATCGAATATCATAAAATTTCAGTTCATTCCATAAAACATTTAGAGCAACTCTCAAAATTTAATATCAGGGTGATATTTCGACAATTCAAGTAGCACTGATAACATGAAAACTTATTCACGGTATACCGCTCAACATGCACGGATTCAGAATTTAAAAGGTAGAGGAATTTCTTTTTATTTGGGATGACTAAGGAATAATTCAAATGAAAGGTTATGAAATAACCGACACAATCAAATTTGAAATTAAACGACTGACAACGCAACAGGTTTCATATATGACACGATAATTTTACACATAAATAACACCAAATTTTCATAGATGACACAATATAATGGGTGAACGAGTGAAGTTTATCGCACGGATTCGTATAAATTTGATAATTCAAACGACACACGGACTTGACTGAATCTACTTTGGCAATCAATTAGAATTCAATGTCAGGTTGGGAATCCTCGAAATAAAGAAGGGTTCATCCGCGAACCACCCAATTCCGATTAATTGGAATTTAAATTTAAATTACACTAACGGTAATTAAGTTCCCCCTGATCAGTCAAAGCAGAAATTACTCGTTCGGGAGAATAGAACTTTATCTAAAACACAGCCATCACTGACAACCGAAGTGATATCCGAATAATTCGCGCACTTCAACCACCGTTCGACAACCTCACGAACAATAATACCAAATTTCCGATCGTTAATCACTTTCGAATAGGGGCTGTCCACATTAAATTAACTTTCGTGCAAGGTATCTCGACCGACTAAAATTTCGACACTCTTTCGGACTCCGCATGTAACTAGTCTCAATCCGAATCTCGATCAGGGCTGACGGCACTTCCCGGTAAACACAATTACGAATTCGACGCTCGACAATTCGATCCCGAAAAAATACCAGACCCGATAAGCTAATATAAAAAAAAAAGGGGGTACGTGATCGCGATAATAGCACAGGGTTGGATTGGAAATATAATGAAACGCCAAACTTAGGTGTCGGTGTGTCGGGAAATTTGAATAAGTCGGTGCCTGGGCCTCTGGCTTCCTTCCTTCCTTGTTCGAAATTCTTTGGCCACTTTTGGAGAGCTTGTGGTTTTTCAGGAGGTCATTGCCGCTCAAAATTCTAAAACAGAGTGCGCTCCCGGCCGAGCTCCAGATTTTTCGCGGTCTCCTAGACAAGGAGTAGGGGCAAGAGGCCCTCCTAGGTGGGGCCCACCTTTTGCAGCGTCTTCAAATTCCTGGAGCTCGGTAGCGCCTCCAGAACCCTGAACCTGGTGCTGACGCGGGGTTTCGTGCCCGGAGACCTTCCGACGTCGCGTAGACTTCGGCCCTCGCGAGCCCGTGCGCACTTCTGGAATGCCAGCTCTGCACCTTACTTGCGTTCTAGTGCAGGGCTCGCTTTCCCTGAGCCCGATTCTATTTGACTTTAAAATCTAAATTTTTACTAGAATGCAGCGGGACGTAACAGTACATTGAAATCAGTAAACTTGAGAAATATTGTATTATGCAAATTACATTGACATCAAAGAATTAACTCTAATTCCGATAATTTTTCTTTCAGTTTCAGTTTTAAGTTTTTTCATAATCATATATTTAATTTTCTCTGAACTGTCTTACTTTCTGGACAGTAGACTTCAATTTAAATTTGAACCTGATGTCGACATTGATTCGAAATTGAAAATAAATATCGATATAACAGTTGCTATGAGATGTAATAGCATTGGTGCCGATGTGTTGGATACAACAAATCAACATGTAATGGGCTTAGATCAGTTGCAAGAAGAAGATACATGGTGGGAATTAACTTCTGATCAGCGAGCTCACTTTGAGGCACTTAAGCATATGAATTCATATTTAAGAGAAGAGTATCACGCAATTCACGAGCTGTTGTGGAAATCAAATCAAATAACTCTACTTAGTGAAATGCCAAAACGGTAAGTTTGAATTAGTAAGTTACTGAATTATACTTAATCTAATGGAAATTTGCTGTTATAATAAATTAGTTGTTGTTTTTACAAAATGAACTGATTCTTTTTATTACATAATTTCAGAACCTACGAGCCTCTTCATGCACCCGATGCATGTCATATTTATGGTAGTGTAGAACTAAATAAAGTAGCTGGAAATTTTCACATAACAGCTGGCAAGTCCATCTCACTTCCAAGAGGGCATATACACATTTCAGCATATATGACTGATCGGGATTATAATTTCACTCATAGAATACATAGGTTCTCTTTTGGAGAACCTAGTCCCGGTATAGTACATCCTCTTGAAGGAGATGAAAAAATAACCCATGATAGTAAGTATATTTGGGTACTTTATCTTATAATATTTCCATGTGGATAGTTATGTTATACATGCCATGTGCAATTCTTTTATAACATTATTTAATATGTTAATCACAATGAAGCATGCGCTTGATATCCGATGTTTAAATTTTTGTTTATTTATAGATATGATGTTATATCAGTATTTTGTAGAAGTTGTACCTACGGATATTCATACACTTCTACGCTCTTCTAAAACCTATCAGTATAATGTAAAGGATCATTATAGACCCATTGATCACCTTAAAGGTTCACATGGTATCCCTGGAATTTTTTTCAAGTATGATACAAGTGCTCTTAAAGTTAAAGTAATTTATGAACGTGATTCATTATCTCAGTTCCTAGTCAAACTGTGTGCTACAATTGGAGGGGTTTATGTTACTAGTGGTAAGTATTTTGTTTTGAGATATGTATTTAACACCATTATATTCTTTTATAAATATTTTCTTTGCAGGCCTACTAAATAATTTGGTACAATTTCTGTGGCAGGTTATTAACTACCACTTTCTAAAAAACAAAGATAGCAAAAATGATGAAAACTTTGTAACAACTGCCTCATCTGAGCAGAAAGTTACACCCCCCTTAAATTTACTTGATATTACTATACCATCAAATATAGATATCATGGTAAAACCACAATAAAGTCGTAAATTGTAAGTTAACATGATATTGTAATAATGAGTGTCACTGACTTGCTGATTAACATAACGAGAAAAATATTTTAAATATATTTATTAATATATTTCCTTAGGATGTCCGTTAATTATTTAAGAAATCCTAAAATCGATTTATTTCAGGTACGTTATTCCTAATGTACAATACTACATGATACAGAATCAGTTTTTATGACATTTTGCATTTATCAGCATTGGTTAAACAGACGAATGTCTGTTTTAATTTTAAAAATATTTCATTGTACTTCCACATGTACGTGTATATTTTATTTAAATGTTTTAATAGGTCTCTTCAAACGCAGATATTGATTATTTCTGTCAAGACTAATATTTTTAAAGATCTTCAAAAAACTTTAACGTAAAAAGATGATAATTGCCTATATCAAATGTATAATGTAACGTTAAGGCATAACTTGTTGGTACAAGCAAATGCGACGATATTTCGTCGATCTTAAACTACCCTTTTGAAGAGTGACCAGCGTTAAATGATCTGTGATTGTGAATAACTTCCAATGCATATAACTATCTATAAGGAATAAAATGTAATGTTATATAAATTTCCACAATTGCATAAGCTGCACTTATGTACATTTTCTTATAACTTACATTAAATATAATAGAAATACTTGCAACATTCTCAGCAGTATTTTTATTTTAAATAGTTTATTTCTACTAAAATAATTGATTATTATGATTTATTTTAGCGATCGTATGGATTCCAACGGAAATTAAAGATTAACATAAATAATAAGTTAAATAAAACACATTAAAGTAAATAAAATATATTTGTTAACCAATCTCTAAAATAGATTTTTCACAGTTGCTTAAAATATTGAATTGGAGAACTTTATACTTCTCTGGTATATTTTTTCACTTAAATCAGTTGTGTATTATAAAGCTATTTTGATAAATACGAGGGATGAAGAATTATCAACCTTAGATTTTTTACGTAACAGCTGCATTTATTTTTTAATGACCAATTGGTCCTTTCTCTGTACGGCATTTGTACATTAAGTTCAGCAGGTCGTGAAACCGTTTTGTAGACATTTATACTTAATAAGTGCGTTGCGCTTAACAGAGAAGACATTTGATTTACGATTAGAACACTAGCTTTTCTTGATTGTCAATTCCTAATTTCAGTATCTGTTTCTTCTGTTACACTTTAAAGACTACTTCAGATTCGGCTATTTTCTGTCACTGTTTTTTGCTCCAAAAGGACGCGTTACAATACTTTTGCTTAACGTACATCTTATCCATTTACTGAACTACGCGCAAAACGTATTCGCTTAAAGAGACGAATGCAATGTATGTATGTGCCATTTACAAATAAATGGAACTCTATATATAATAAAGTACATTGTGTTACAATCAAAATAGCAAATCAGGCACTTAATCGTCGAAATCATATATCATAGACAGTTGTGTACAATGCCTGTCCGATTTACATTAACTTACGTCGACATAACGAAGTTGAAGTTAGTAACCTATTTGCAGAAGTGTTACATCCATTCGCACATAATAATAACAGCCATTCGTATCTGCACATTGTATTACACATTTTAGGTAACCGTTCGAAACCCATACACTTGAATGCAAACGTATAAGTACGTCACTTTGCGTTTTACAGTATTTAATAAATCAAACGGGACTTTACTCAATCGTTTATTGGTCTTTGACGTCAAGAGGTGTTATTTGATAGATACATTTTATGCAATTTGCACAGTGGCAACGACCTAAGTTACCCTAGATATTTTTGTAATTTCTACTGCTGAGTGAATCGATTTCTGTATATTTCATTGCACGTAAGAACGTTTGATCCTGATACGTTTGCATCCAACGATTAACTCGACCAATCCAGTATTTAACATTAAAGTTCTGTAAAGGTATTCTCTATACGGGATTTTACATGAGTCCTTAAAAGTGCATGTTAAGTATGTTTTCGGGTGCCTCTAAAATTAGGCTTCATTTTCTATCTACGTCCGCACACATGGCACGATCAAGCGATGCCACTGAACACCGATTAGATTCTCTTAAGCATACAAAAATAAATATAATAGTGATCGTGTATCTCTCGACTTATACATGTACAGTGAATACTATGTTATATAGGTATTGTATAAATATATTTTAACGTATAGGTTTCCTTACGTCGTTTCAAATTAAAATGCTCTGTCCTGTATCGCAAATTAATGGCACACCTAGGAGAGTCGCGAATCGCGTACCGCACTGCCGATTGCGTTACTAATTGTAATTATTATACAGCACCTTGTAAAATTATGTCTGAAATTAAGGATTAGCGCGCAGAATCATAATCCAGATGAACTGACATAACGTACAATCTCTATGATTTGTAATAACTACATGAGAAATTACGTAGGACACGCATATGTAATTTCCCCTCAATGATGTGCTTTGTTTATTTTCATTTGTACATCCGATGCTGTAAGGACACTAAAGAGATAAATCGACGAATACTAAGCTTACGTTAAAATAAATGTCACCGCACCGTATAGCACTTCGAACGTTAAAATTTCCGCAAGATAAACTACATTCCATATCCTAATTTTTCGTGCAATATTCTTTTTCGGCTAGAATATGATCACTCGATCGGAACCAACGTGAACAATAATACCAATTTTCCGTGCTAATCGAGTTCCGTAGTTACGAAATCACGAAGATCAATGCTGTCGCTGAAACATGTTGCACGCAACTTCGTCATTTACTACTACGGTTTAAATGCCAATTTGTGGCAATAAGGCTTCCTTTTAAGCAAAGAGAGACCACAATAAGAGCGTCTCCCCTAGGCATCGTACAAATTAGATCCACCACAACATCCAATGGTGTATTTGCTTTGGCTGCAGCAATTTACCTAAAAAGATAAAAATTCCACAATTTATTTCGAAATAACGGCGAGGTCATGAAAGCATTACCAATAACAATCTAATACATTTACTTACCTATTAACTTCATGTATCGAGTAAATTAAATATGTGTGTAGGCGTAAAACGACGCGACTAGAAGTAATGCTGTAAAATCCATGATAGGCCGTGTCGTCGTTGCTGAGCCTGTTATTGAGTTCCCTGCTGCACATATTACAAGAAATTGCTTTAATAACATATCTGAATAGCAAGTGAAATTAAACTGCCCATAGATATATGGGAGAAATAGAAACCTACCAATTCTTACATCCTCTGCCTTGTACTCTGTAACAAGGAGAATACAAAAATGTTACAAAACTTATCCTTACAATGATTAATTCGCTTTGAATAGTATAACAAATAAAAATGAATAGGTATGAACGAAAATTCGAAACATGACTGATGTAAATATGTAGAGTTTTAGTTTGCTGCGTGCGCTTCTGTTCCAAAGATTAGATAAATTCAATTAAAATCTGCTCCTTTCTTACCTCCTGTGAAGGTGTAAGGAACGGGACGCGGTGACCATCCGAAGGTGTTTCGTGCCATTAAGATCGCTTCGTAGGATCCAGGCCGAAGCCCTTCGATGGGATGTTCCACTGTAAATTCACTGCCTTTTCCATCCGTGACTGGTGGTGTCAGAACAAGCCAATCCGTTTCGCCTTTACGACGGTATTCCAACTGTTGAACATAAACCGTATTACATTTAGTACACGCTCTTGCGAGAATAATAATTCCCAATACTTCTGCATGATTATTAGGAAATGTTCCATCTTGTTCTATCTTCTGATATTGATAATTTGTCGTGCGCTTTTAACGATGACATGCGATCATGACTGCTAACTCGTTAGTTGTAATAGAAAGAACACAAAAGTATGGAAAGTTTAAAAAATGTAAGGTATATTCTTTCTCATGTTCGGCACGGCATCGCCTTCAATGGCTGTTAGCAATATAATCATTGTTTCGTTCAAAAAACCTTAAGAACCCTACTGACGTGTCAATGTACACGTACCCTGTATTCGGTGATCGGTGAATAACTTTCAAGCCGCCATTTAAGTATCATTCCCGAATCATCCTTCGACATCTCACCGCCGAGCAACATGGCTTGTGTAGGTACACCTGTAAAAAAAGATTCGTTGTCATCCGTCGCGTCTGCTGCAGCCTGCGTATCTTTTCGAAATTAAATTTGTTAATATTTTCTGGAATTCGCATAATCCGTGAAACGCGAAGAAACGTTTTGTCCACGGACGTCTCGATTGTTAATACTCGCACGGAGGCATAAAATGGTGAAAGTTCTTTACCGGTCAAAGAAATATTCTTGCGGGCTTCTCCCAATCCATTTTTCGCGTAGCACGTGTATTCTCCAAGGTCGTGCGTGCTGGTGTGCATTATGGTGAGCGTGTGTTTGGACTTGCTATCCTTCATGATAATCTTTCCTTTCTTTGGCAAGACGTCATTTCGATTCTTCTGCCACATGACTTTGGCAGCCGGGTGGGCATGCACAATGCACGTTAAATCCGAGCGGATTCCAGTCCCGGTGTGGACGGATTCTCGCTCGACCTCGACCTCGGGAGCATCTGCAAAAAGCGATCTTGAATCGACGCATAACTTAGGTTCAACGATCTTGTAACGCCGACGTGAAATGGATTTTCTGTGTCGGGAACGCAGGAGCAGATAAATGCCTCGGCGATCTTACAATTAACGATCAATTCAATGGCAGCATGTGGGGGATTCGGAGTGCCGTTGTCGGCGAGGCATTGATAGAAGCCGGAATGATGTCTGGTCGCTTTGTATATCGTGATGGAATCGCCCTGCACCGACTCTTCTCCCGTAGGCAGTCTCTTGCCCTGAAAAGCAGAAACGTTATTGCATGCAGGTAACGACTCGAGTACACGTTTTGTCACCCCGAAGGAAACGAGTTTCGAAGCAAGTCCTTGGCAAAACATCGCAGCTAGGTGACCATTTAACACATTCGCGACCGCTGACGTCAATTCACGTCTTTTCAAGTTCTATTCCTGGTTGCCGCTGACGTGAATTCACGTCATTTTAAATTCTATTCCTGATTGCCGCTGGCGTTAATCACGTCCATAACGATACACGATACAAGTTTGCGGCAACCAGTTTCAGAATTTCATTATTTTCGCCGGTACTCAGTATTTGAAACGGAAAACATTTGCCGCTCGCGAATGTGCTAAGTGAATAGCGGAATGAAGGTGAATCTACTAAAGTACCCGTTTAATTGGGCGGTAACGGTCTAACGTTGAAATTAAAATGTTTACTGCACGATTTTCAGAAGGAAACCAGAACAAGCCGTCGTCGAAAAGTTTATTACTCGCAATTACGGAGGAAAGTTGCAGCTTTTGCCTATTCTTAAGGTACTCCTTCCAATGGGTATGGTCCATAAGCCGATAAGCGCGGCAATTACCTTGCGAGACCACCGGATCTCGTATGGCGGCTGCAATCTCGTTTTACAGCCTAACTTGATGCTCTCTCCTTGCATGATTTCAACACGTTTGCCCGGTGTAACTTGAATAAGAGGCTCGACCTCATCTGGCTCGACACGCAGCCTGTGCATGACTCTCACGATAGGGTCCGTCACGACTTCGCATATATAATTGTCGGAAGTGTCGTTCAGTTGGGCATCGATGATCAGCAAACTGTGGTCCGGTTGCCTAATGATCCTTTGCGTTCGATTGGTTGTCGGGGTCGTGTCGTAGTACAGGTACTCGTCGTCCTTCTTCCACGTGACCACGGCGTCCTCTGAACAAGGAGAAATTTCCATTTATTTCCAGATTACTTACCCACGTGAGCTTGACATTCGGAATAAAAATGATCCCACGAATAATTTCCTACTTCCTACTTCCTACTTCTTACGGCCTACTTCGAGTAGTATTTAATGCCACGGTAATTGCGAATGTTGTTATTTCTAACTTCTTAGTCATCACTCATCGTATCTAGAAATTGTAATCGACACTAACCAGTTAAGTTTATCACTTCGCAGGGTAGGGTGACGTTGGCTCCAACCCTAACCCGAAGAGATACAGGTTTCGATGCGATTTGTGGAGGATCCCCCGTAGCAGGCGTATTCTCCACCTCGTCGTTGGCCGGCGAATAATCCGTGTATTCCGGATCGTCGTCGGAGTACAAATCTCCATCGGTTTCCTTGTTCGGCCTGGCCCATCCTGAAGCAAACGGGATCAACGTCCGCGTTAAGGACAAAAGTGTGTATCTACGCTTATATCTACGGTAAATTAAATATACGACTAACCGATACTGTAAACAAACGTCTCGACCGAGTCGTTATGACTGCGCCAAAGAAAAGGCGATTCGATCGTTTTCACGTTCCCTGTATATAATTAAGCGATTCGACCGGCACCCCTGTTTATCCGTGCCTTATCGGTGCGCGATCGATCTCGTTGCCGTCGATCGTTTACGTTTATAATCGCGCAGGAGCGTAGGTGCATCGCTCTCGAGCCCGAGTCCAGCCATCGGAGTGCATCGCACCGCGTGATGCAACGGCCGACAGTCGACGGGGTTGAAAGGGTCGGAATTAGATTTCCAGAGCGCGGCCGCGCCTGATTTTCAGGAGGTCGTAGCCATTTCGTTCTAATAATACCGCACCCCTTGCTACCCTCGGGCAATTGCTACTTCCTGCTCCTAGATCTCGGGCGAGGCGCGGGTCAAGCTTAGACAAAACGAGCGGGGAAAAAAGTGGGGCATAAAACCGAAGCGGAGTGCACCCCTGCGTGCCGGCACTCCGTTACTCGGCATCGCGCCGTCATATTCGTGTAAAGCGATATATCGTGCATCGGGGCACGGTGCCACGCCCTGTTGGGGAGGAAGAAAACAAAAAGGAAAGAAAAAAAAAAGAATTAGGTCGAACGATGCCTCCAGCAGGTGTCTCCTGCTGATAGCATGGCCGAGGCTAACGCGTCCCGAAATTGTGCACTGTCGGCACCGTGTCGCGAGAGATGGAATCACCCCCGGGAATAAACGAGGTGCCAACCGGCCGGCCAATTTCCTCGATGAATCCTGGAAAATACGGATCCGAAGTGTCCTCCCTGCGCGTGGGTGGTTTCAATTAATTCCCTCCTCCCTATAAAAATTCAAGGAGTCGGTGAAGTTCACGGGATCGCGCCCTGCGGGGTTTAAAAATTTGTAAACATGACGATCTTGTTAAAATTGTTAACCCTCGAACCAGTCTTTGTATCCGATAAACCTGGTTTCAAGATCCATACGTTTGGCTGCATCCCTGGATCGTTTTGCATGGTCGGTAAATGTGGATTTTGTCCGCGTTCCTATATTTGCCGAAAGTCTCGGTTATAATGGCGGAGATGTAGGTTCACCGAGTGAAAGGAAAATGTCTAGGATTTTCTTTCCCTGGGGGAGATGCACGAATCTAGGGCACCGGTTAGTCACCACGTGTCTACACCCCTGCATTCCAACTAGCAACCCTAACTAGATCTCTCGATGGACTCCCCTAGCAACGACCTAGCTTTCGCGGCTACATACGTAGGCGACGCCATGGCGTCCCATCGCGTCATTCGCCTCTTGCGCGTGTATCCTTGCTCGCTCGTGTTTTTCGTTGCAGGGGTATATATACATATATACACGCGCGGAGGGCCTCGAGAAGAAAGAGCGCTAAAGCGAGTATAGACGTCGTGGAGGGTCCGTCATTTAAGACGTATCGCCGCTTCTTCCTATTACCGATATCGAGCGATCCCTTTCCTCCGACGCGAATTGATGCGATCCGAGGGAAGTTCCGGCCCATGTACTACGAATAATTACCACTCTTCCTCAGCAAATGGCACTAGAAATTAAATTACCGGGTAATTATGAGAGAAGAGCCAAAAAGCGAGAAAGGGACTCAGATATTTAAGATGCGCATTCAACGGGAGGGCGCAACGTAAAGGAAAATTACATTACACGGGAGAAAGGGATGAAATCAACGAAAATGAAAATAAAAGACGTGGGGGAAGTGAACATTCGAAAAGGGAAGCAGAACAAAGGCAAACGCGATCGGAGGACACAAGGAACTCTGTTTTAAGGATTACTCGAAAGAGGACCTTATCTTTGCCTAAACCCTAGATAAGACCGAATAAGCGCCATCTTTACGATAATTGGACAAAAAGGACATTTGATCCTGGACCGCCGACTCGAGCGGTTCTTCGCGCATCTCGGTTTTAAAGCGCATACGTATCGTTATTGTCTCATAATGAGTTGTCATTTAATCTGCGAGATCTCTTGTAAACCTTTCGCTTTTCGCTTTAGGTGAAGGGAAACACGTCGAGGAACTTGATCGACGCCGATAAAGAAGATTTTTCTAAATGCCTACGTTGCCGACGTTCGTTTTTATATTGACCGCTGTGTCGAATTATATTGGATATTGTACCAAATGGCATACCCCACCTGTCGTTTTCGTACAATAAATATCAAGAAATCGAAGTGAAACTCCAGAAATCCTCTGGATTCATGCTTTCTGGGGCCCTAACTGACTGCAGAGGGACACCCTGCGCCATCTGTGATTTCCAGTTTAATTCTATTTTCCTTTTGAGTCCTCGTATTCTCATCGTTTTAGCATAGAAGCGCATACAACACTTTTTTGCCTTTATCCCGTTGAAATGCAAGTTTATCGATTACCAGAGTGTTCTAAATTGTCGTAAAATATGTCCTGACCCTTTTGTTTCTCATATCAGAGCCTTCGATAATTGTATATTGATCGAAATATGAGAGCTCGACGCCATTTTGGTTCTGGTCTGGGCTGAGTTAAAATATTTTTTCCAAAAATCCAAATTTTCAATATGTCAGGACAATTCTTATATGATCAGGAGAGATGTGTCAAAGTTTCGGATAGTTTGGTTTAATACCCGTAAAAAAAAGTGTTGTATTCGAATCGACTGATTTGAAGGGAGTTTCACTTCACCTTAAGACTTTCCCCTAGTAGGTACTATCTCTGATATTACACGTTCGCGAATTTCCGTCTACTTTTTCCGAAATCCCATTGCACGTTACGCCACTTCGGAAAGAATCGATTGGGCCGATAAGCAAGACTGGCAGCCGGACGAACGGCGAAGCCAGGAGAAAACGAGAAACGACTTCGGCACACAGAGGCGCGGTTCTTTGGTCAATGCCGTGCTTAGGAGTGAATATTTCTAACCGAGTGGTTCTCCCTCGAGCAATTTGTTCCGTCGATCGGCCGGCACTAACCCTCTGCGGTGGTGCGCTTATTGTTCCGCTTATAATTGACAGGAGACTCGTCGCACACCCCCGTTAGGCACGAATGCGTCCCACAACGACTTGTCGACAACTGCCAGTAAACGGAGAGAACGAAACCCGGCCACAAGGAACGATCGTTCGAAGGGAGCGCAATATTGCCTTATCCCAGGGTTTCCCAAACTATGTCCCGCGACAATTTGGAAAGGTTTCATACCTTGCAACACGTTTAAAGATCTTCTACTTCATACTGAAAGGCGAGTGATGATCATTCTCCCCTGATGTAACCGATGATATTAGCCTTTACATGATTTCTGGACGAGTTTGTCAGAAGAGTACCCCAATTTTTCAAAACAAACTATTATTGTTTTTCTTCCGTTTTCTACAACCTATTTATGCGAAGGGGGATTTTTTTATTATGCTGCAACGAAGTCAAAGTGCAGGAATAAGCTCGACGCCAGACCAGATATTAGAATGCAAATTACCAATATTGTGCCTGATATCAAGAAGATATGCAATTCAAGAACTCAAAATCATCAAAGTCATTGAGTGCTTTATTTATTCATATTTTCATGTGTATATTATATAACAATTTTATATTTAAAAATAATTACTAAATAAATAATGTGTTTTAATAACATTATTTTTTCATTTTTACTAGGAGGCATTACCCAACCTAAAAAGTAAGCTAAGTGTTTCATGAAAATTTCCGGGTTTGCGAAGTGTTCCATTGCAGAAAAAGTTTGGGAACCCCTGCCTTAGACAAAGCTGCACTCTGGCTTCTTGATTATTTACACAGAAATATAAAACATTATCAGAAATATTACGTGTACATTTTCCTTTCAATATTTCCTGAATTTTCAAGCAGAAAAGTACTCCACGATGATTGCAAGAATATCGTCATACTTCGGCAAATGTAAGAAGTTGAAAATGGGTCAGCAAACTTTTCTTAAGGATATTTTTCGTTGCATGAACAACGGACAACGATTACTTCCCCGGGGCAACAGAAATTCTGTTAAGAGTTGCAATAGCTTTTGTTGACGACAACGAACTACATATAGCTCGTTTGATCGAGTAGTGCCGACGATATGGCAGGATTTTTGGCCGTTTTTAGAGATTCATTTGCTAATTTAGCGAGTATTTTTTTCTAGCGAAGTTCTCCTATGGTTTCATCCATGTTCGATGCAATTGTCAACAGTTTTGCTGTCAATACAATTAGTGCGGTAAGGGCAAAACCCTATCATAAATGCTGTCTTCTGCTAGAAATGCAAATATTATTTTCTCCGTGCAGTGTTGATTATTTAAGATGAATTTTTTAGCCGAAATGAAAAATCTAGGTTCATAGAGGTTCATAAGCGAAGCTTAATATCAAAGTTTGCAGACTGTCTTGTGACCTCAAAACCTCCTGATAAAACTTTTTCACGCGTTCCCGAGATTTGTGCCGAGTCTATCCACGGTCTGTAATGTAACGTAACGCGCAGCGAACGTAACATTACGCGTGGCTGGTCTCTGTAATTTGTTACCTTAGGACGTGACGTGCGTCGTAACGTCACGCGTAATCGGCGTGCCTTTTTCAGGTTACTCACCCGATACTGTGCGCAAGGTAATGCAACGTAACAAAACGGATAATCATTTCAGGTCTCAGTACGTAAATTTAGAATGGATTATTTCCGTCACGCCGAGAGAACGATCCAGGACGATTGCCATACCGTGTAAGAAACGTTGGATGCGAATGATTCTCGGAAAAGGGGTCACTCTCCGTTCCTGAGATTGTATCTCTGTTTATGCGCGAGTGCAATACGATAATACTCCATATGTATATATTACAATATTTACGTGATGTCGTTAAGAACAATAACAAATTCGCTTCGGTACGAGTTTTCTTCGAGTCGTCTCCTGTGTACTCTTTATCGCTGAAGGGGCTTTCTTCGACGATAACAATGTATCTTTTGTAACAATCTTCAGGTAA